ATTTTAATTTATTTATTTATTTAGTTTTTTTTTTGCCATTTTAGCAACCTTTAACTCATAAACGAACTTTACCGCCGTGAGTTCTCTCCTTAGTTTGACCCTCGCGGCTCGTCGTAGTCCCGCCTCCGAGTTTTACGTCTTATCCTGTACAAACACACGTGGATTTTTACCTACGCCAACAACCATCAACAACAACATGGCAAGCCACGGACTCACCTACGAAGGCTGCAATTTCTTCCGACAGCGGCTAGTTCTATCGACACTTAGTGGAAAGCATGTCAAAATCAAAAACATCCGCTCCAGGGACGACGAGCCGGGGCTTCGCGGTGAGAAACAGCCCCGCTGTTAGCTCGGAGGCTAACAGGCTAGCTGCTACGCAGTTGGGAGTGTGTGTTTACAGGAGGCGACCAAAAGGGGGGGGAAATGATAGTGCACATTACCAGACTATGGGATTGATTTTAACCAGAACTCTTTACAATACATATATCAGAGTTATCTAAGTTATGTTGTTAATAGATATAGTAATGTATCCCCCTTTTTTTTTTTTTGGATTTTTTTTTATTTAAACAGGAAAAAACTTATTATGCGTTTGTTAACTTGCCCTTTGTAATTTTATTTTCTGTTTTAGATTTTGAAGCCAGCTTCATCAGACTTTTGGACAAAGTGACCAATGGCTCCAGAATAGAGATAAATCAAACTGGTAAGCATTAACATTAAGACATTTTATCTTTCTCACTTAAATGATTTGTTTAAAATATCCTGTTTGGTTGCAATCTATGTCAGTATCTTATTTTCAATGTGTCCATCAGGTACTGTGTTATTCTACCAGCCTGGCTTGCTGTATGGAGGCTCTGTGGAACATGAATGTAATCCCCAGCGTTCAATAGGATACTATCTGGAGGCTTTGCTTATGCTGGCCCCTTTTATGAAAAATCCTCTAAAGGCAAATCTGAAGGGCGTAACAAATGATCCCATCGATCCATCGGTAAGTTTGAACTCTATGGAAGGTTTATTTCCTGATCACTTCATTAGGGCTTCAACATAGTCATAAAACATATGGAAACGTTCAACTTGGTCTGGTTTAGTACAACACAAAGACATTTCTTAAAATTGATTATATTTGCAGATTTTATCCAGTTTTCCTTCTGTTGGAACTAGAGCTGGGTGATTGATGAATCATAATTAATGTTTATGAAGATTTTTTTTTTCATTAATGCACTTCTTGGGCTTCCATAGACCAAAGTGACATAATTTAATCACTTTTTGTTTCCTAGATGTGTACTTATAACTGATAAACTAGCTGAATTTGTCCAGCCTTCATTTAGTTTATTATATTTTTATTGTTTGTTGCGAAACATAGTTTAACAGCTTATACTTGGTGACCCTTTAAATTAAGGTCAGCTTTTAAAAGGGGCAATTGAATCAAAGATTGGATTTTTTGTATTGTATTTATTGTGTTTGTGTGTGTATATATAAATACATATCATTATATTATCTGTATTACCCAGAACTAGTTTCAGTTATTTAATCTTTCATCTTTGACCTTCATTTTTTTTTTCTTGGTTAGTTTAGATATATTTTTTATATAAACTCTATGTGAGCTTTGTATTTTGGATCATGAAATGGATGTAAAGAACGGAGAACTCTGAATATGTGCAGAAACACCGTGTTCATGAGCTAAACTATACGTAACTGGTGTTTGCTGTAAAACCTGACTACAAGTCCAAACTCTTGGTAATTGATCAGATAGAGAAGATGACTTGTAAATGCAACCATTCAAAGCAGTTTAACAGGGCTAATGGGTTTGCATGAAGGATTTATTTTCCATTGTCTCCAGTGTCCTTGTCTGCCTGTATGCTGACCTTTTCTCACTGTTTTGGGTTACAGTCCTCTGCTTCTGCAACTGCCTGGTCCCTGTTGTAGAAATGTCATTTATATGGAGACGTAATTATTTACCTCATTTATTTTGTTTCCCTTTCAGGTTAATAGGCTAAATTCGCATCATCTTATTGTTATTATTTGCTCTTTATCCTCTAGGTTGACATGTTGAAGTCCACAGCTCTTCCTCTGATGAAGAAGTTTGGAATCGATGGAGAATCATTCGATCTGAAGGTGAGGGATTTGGTACTGCATTAACAGGAACAGTATGGCGGAATCGTCTTTTGCAGGAAATGCATTTGCATACAAAAGCAAATGCATGAGGATACACCCATGTGAGCAAGCCTATTTTGACTATTGCCGTGCTGCTGCTCCCTCAGGTGGTGAAGAGAGGGATGGCACCTGGTGGAGGAGGAGAAGTAGTCTTTACGTGTCCAGTCCGCAAAACCATCAGGCCAGTGCAGCTGACCGAGCCAGGAAAGATCAAGAGAATCAGAGGAGTGGCGTATCCTTCTCTGTCTAATTTCTTTCGTTTTTCTTTTGGTTTGCATATATATGATACGTTAACAAAGAACAATCGCTCTAATGTAAATCTAGTACCACAATTTCTGTTTTGGATCAAAACACCATGGTGATGATGAATAAAAGTGTTTCTCGCTGCTAAAGGTGATTCCTGTTTTTTTTCTCCTGATAATTTTGTTTTCTAGCATTGATTTAAGTATTTACTCACTAAATGTTGGAGCTCCTTGACTTTTACTCTCAGATATTCGGTCCGAGTTTCTCCTCAGATGGGAAACAGGATTGTAGAATCAGCCAGGAGCGTCCTGAACAAGTTCCTTCCTGACATCTACATCTACACAGACCACATGAAAGGAGCCAACTCTGGAAAGTGAGTCTCTCTGTTCATGCAGTCTTCCAAATATTTTCTTTTTTATTAAACCTTACTTTATTAAACTTGGAGAGAGGAGCTGTTCTTTAAATACCATTTATTTAGGTACTTAAATTGTTTTTGTCATCTGCAGATCGCCTGGTTTTGGTCTAACGTTGGTGGCAGAAACCCTGAACGGCTGCTTCCTCAGTGCAGAGATGTCCTCCACCCCACAGGGGCAAGGAGACCCGGTCCTGCCAGAAGACCTTGGCAGGAATTGTGCCAAATTGCTCTTGGAAGAAGTGTACCGGGTATGGTTTTTAAATACTCTGATTTCCATAGTAAAAATTCACCTGACATTGTTTTAAAATGGGTTGCCTTTACAGGAAAACACGGGTCTGTTTGTCTCTCCTTATTTTAGAAAGTAATTAGATGGTTAAGGTTTGACAGTTCATGAGACAATCAGACCAAAGTATTACTGTTTTTAATCAGCTGGGAAGAATTAATCTGTTAGATATATGTGAGGAAAAAAGTAAGATTCCTTTTAGCTAGAGAAAGTCTTCATTT